ACGATGATCATTGTGTTTCCATAATAATTTCTCTTCCTTTTCTATTTTGCAGTTTCCGTCAGCATTATATTGACCGAGGATACTTCGAGGTAATTTGTTGCCGTTTTTAAAGGAGATTACAACAGTTTCTACCCATCGATTCAACTCATAACAATGGCAGACTGCCATTTATTTTGGAACATACTCTCTAGACCCTGTTCATTTATATAAATTTGCGAACCTAAATGCCGTTTAATAAAATTAGTTCGTCGTTTCCATTTTCCCAGGTCAACCCACCCACTTTGGTTCAAACACAAGTTGAAGGTGGATCGACTTTGTTCAAATTTAACTATTTTGGGGACGATGTAAGTCTTAACTAAGCAATGTGGATTTATGTATATGTACGCCAGAACAGGTAGAACTAGAACGTTAGAACTAGACACGAGTTTCTGCTGTTGTAGAACTCTTTCAAATTCAAGTTCAACATAAATATATCACTTGGCACCTGAGCTGTTTTGCGTGCGTTTGAACGTGAGCTACTGTTTGTTGTCTAGGCCTACCTAACTCAATCATCTCAACTGTATTTGGAAACTGCTTTACCGTCATTGGGTGATGTCTTCTGCCTGGCGCAGTCATACAGAGCTGAACAGTCAAAAACTAGAAGACATTTGTCTGAGTATGTTTCCGAATAAGGATCCTAACCATCACCTAAAAATACCGATAATTATTCCCCTGTTTTTATTGCAGAAAATTTCACTGTACGTACTTTTTATACCTGGGACAATAATGACCTTCAAATTGAAAGGCAGTCATACAGTATTCCTTTAAAATAGCGTATGTACAGCGGTTTCAACATTACAAAATATTCCGCATTGTATCATTTTAGATATACTCATGTTGAAGCAGAATGTCCGTTCATTACCTTCGAAGACCTTCTGGATAGAATTGAAGATCTTGTACGTAAACCAGTTGCTTTTCAGACTTGAACAAGACGCCTGTTCAAGACGTTCACTCCGCCTGCATGCCAACTGATGTACATAATTCATCCGTGGACCGTGTAACCCAGGGCTTCTCGGTCAAAAATGAAGTTGTTTTGGGTTACCTGTAGAAATGCCAACTTCTGTCGCCCAAAACTACGACTACTAAAAGGAAAAAAGACCATGGCATTTTAAGACTCCGCTGCGCATACGCAGGCGGAGTAATTGATAAAGGAATTTCTCGAGCATTTTTGCGGCAGTTGAAAACATTGCTCTCCAGTTGATTGTGCTTTCGAACCTTTATACAACGGGCTCCATTTTGATTTGCCGAACCATCGCTGCATCTGTAGGGTCTGGATATCAACTTGCATTCTAATGTTTTTATTGCATTTCTAAGGCCTGTGATGTTGTTGATCGTGTTTTGAAGTCGCCTTACAAGGATCTTCTGTACGAACTCAATCCGGTATGTTAATTGGTGGTGATATTTTAGGGTCATGTACAACCTTGATACATGATTGACCTGGCTAGTACCAGAGACGGATAATTCGTCTGGACAAATTTAGACAAGCAAAAGATAGTTCGTCTTCTAGTTTGTCTGTGTGTAAACACGGGCAAACAGACGGATCATCCGTCAACACGAATTATCGGCATAGTTCGTCTTGTTAGACGAATTTGAATGGATAGTTTGTCTCGGTGCATCATTCGTCTGTTAGTATAAATACAGAGTCGGGACGAACTACGAAAAATTAAGCAAAAAACGGCTTTTGTGAACTCTTCTTACCACACAAATAATTCACCATGCACTTTCTGAACGTGCAATTTTTTTTCGTCTGTCATATTCATTTACATAGCTCGTCCTTATGTAGTTTGCCGTGTGTTTGACGAATGACTTGTCAAACGGATCTTCCATCTCGACAAACGTCTCGTCCCGACGGATCATCGATTTTCCGTATAGTCATTTCCTATTCATGATTTTCTTTCTAGGACTTTAAACCACCAAAGAAGCCTTTTAAGTAAGTCAAGTGCTGCAACTGTCAAGAATCTCTTTACAGTTTTTTAATGCGAGTATATATACTTCTCTATATGATATAAGCAGGATTAAAATAAGTCTGCTTGTTCGGGTTTCTCTCTAATTAATGACCAGACATCTCAGTAACGTGGGACGCGTCAATTTGCATACCTCTTTATCTCATCAATTTGGGTACCAGATCTTATAAATTTGATTAACTCTTAAGAAGATGGCATATCTGCAGGTAATATATATTGTCGAGTCTCGTATATAAAATTATATACTCTTTGATTTATAGACGAATGAACTACACTGACGCTATAGTATATTTGAAAGAACATGACATCCGCAAAGACGATGGAACTTTCTATGAATTTGGTGAAGTAAGTGCTTTGCTGGTGTATTTGAAATTATTCTGTTAACACATTCATTTGTGTTTCGAATCTTGTTCTAATTTGAGGCACAACATTTAATAAGGTTATTGTATTTTAGGATATCCCAGAAGCACCCGAGAGGAAGATGACAGATCAGATCAACGAGGTATTATGCTTTATTATACTAATAAATACATTTAAACCCGAATTCGTCTTCTGTTCATATGCATTTTGTCAGCACGACGATACCTTGTAATGTTTAATACCATTATATATGTGATCCGCTCTTTGAGAATCGTATAAGTTTTGACAACTAATATATAGCAATTGATAAATCATCGAAAGAGATTTCTGAAAAGTTGTGACAGTGTTTTTGTCACAGTGCAAATGGCACTGCTACTTTTGGTTGTTATTTAGAGTTGACTAATTTGAAATTCATTCATTTCAGCCTATATTCCTTTGTCGTTTTCCAACGGAAATAAAGTCATTTTACATGCAACGATGCCCTGAAGACAGAAGACTTACGGAATCTGTGCGTAAATCAATACCCATAGCGAAATCAGCAAACATTACAACAGCCCTTTGCAAGTAGCATGCATGTAGCCACAATTTTATTTCCTATTTCAGTGGAAACGAACAGTAGTTGACCTAATTTTTTGTCAACTTTTAAACTGCTTATTATAGGTCGACTTGTTGATGCCAAATGTTGGTGAAATCGTTGGAGGTTCAATGAGAATTTGGCAATATGTAAGTGTTCACATTTTAAAACTTTTCAGGGCAGTGTTCCCTTTCTTCCTCCTCTTCCGTTTTAACCTGAAAATTTAATTCGTCAATGGCGGTTGCTGCATGGATGTATCGACGGCCCTATATTTCTTTGCATGTAATACCATAGTTCGCTCGAAACTGCTGTATATTGATTTTACTCGTCTCGTCTCGTCTTGGTATGTAAGCCAAACTATGAGAACGTTTGTCATCCTGTTTTTACCAATTTCAGGATGAATTGCTGGAAGGCTACAAGCGTGAAGGCATTGATCCAACACCATATTACTGGTACACCGATCAGGTTAGTTCACTTAATAACTTGCAAATGAGCTCTAACTGTTTGGACTTTGGCGCAATACTTGAACTTTCAGAATCCCATCCCATCCGCGCATCCCATCAATGCCCGTTTTTGGTGCAATCTTGGCCCAGTTAGGGCTGTTTTCCACGGAATTTTGCGCGCGGAGCAGAATCAGTTTTTCATTGTCTGCGCGCTTTCACGCTGAACTAATGTGTGAAAACTCCGCTCCGTGCGCAAAATTCCGCTCCGCCTAGTGGAAAACAGGCTTTACACGCTGCAATTTTGCAACTTACAATGCAATTCTACTTTTGAAAGATGTAAATTTGGCAACTGCGACACTTGTGTTACTACACTCCATGGACGTCCCCTTACACTTACATTTTGAACTCTTCACTAATTTACATCTTTTAAAAGTAGAATTACATTCCAAGAAAAGTTGCACCCCGTGTAACACGGCCCCTTAGGTACTAGGATTTTTAAATTTTGATGGATGAGAGTCATCGATACCATAGGCAGCCCAAAAATCGGTGTATACCACTGGTTTGTACTCCAGTGTAAACCAGTTACCAGTGGTATAAACAGATTTCTGGGTTGCCTATATGTCGATACAAATAAACGCACGTAGACATCACAGCACTCGTAACTCATATCCACTGGTTCACATCTATCAAAAGAATGAAATCGCACGGAAAATCGCAGGAAATTTGCAAGTGTACTTAAATAGATTCATCGTCATCAATTAAGAGATAATAAACATGAACAAATGCACGTTTTACATCTTTCAGCGTAAGTTTGGCACATGTCCCCATGGGGGTTATGGCCTGGGTTTGGAACGATACCTCTGTTGGCTTTTGAACAGAATGCATATTAGAGATGTCTGTATGTACCCGAGGTTCACTGGACGATGTCGACCTTGAGAAAACAGCTCAAGTCACATCAAAAATATTCAATACAAGTTGTATTATTTAGGAAATTCTATAGGAATGAATATTTTCAATAAATCTCATGTTCAACGAATTTCACCAATGTTTTTCTGTCTCCTTTTGAGGTGATAAGTGTACTCTTATAGGTGAAATGAAGCTAATCATTAAAACAGTAAAATGTCGTAAACCTAGAATATATAGGGCTTTTTCGCGCCGAGAATGTCAATGATTGCCTTCATAGTTCTAGCAAAGGATTCTGGTGTTACTGGTTACGTTTTTCATATCCTGGGTTGCGGCATGAAAACTGGACTAATAGAGAACTTCTATATAGCAGTGACTACTGGCACGAAACTCGGTGCTATTTGCTGACGCCATCTGACAAAACACGTATAGCTCAAAAACCAGGAGTTTTCTGTGGTTTTCTACGATGGCGTGAGCAAACATTTGAGAACCACGATCGAAATTTGTACTCAAAGAAGCCTTCTAAGTGACAGTTCTTAATATGGAAAATTTTCCTCGTATCTTTGAAACATTCGTGGTGCTTTAATTTGTAAATTTGATTTTTTAATTCTAATTTAAATATTTTTCTAATATTAAATATTAACACGAAGTTCTCAGAAACTAATAGTCCCGGTGTTGTGTTACAGGAGCATGATGACACACGTACCACCCAATCAATTGTCCCTTAGACAAGCAAAATAGTCTTAAATTTACGAAATTGAGCGCACGATGCAATGAGTGAATAATGAATATGGTCCTGAGTAGGTTATCTACGATTGTGAATGTTAAAGTGAATTTGTTTAATAATACTATAGGTTCTAACGGCGTTGAAATCATGTGGGTCGATCCCCAACACCACCAGCGAGATCATAAACTTTGCCGGAAACGGCCAATGCTAATGAATCTGCGCTCTCCTGAGTTTCACCTTCGGCATACACGCGCACAACATCCTCAGTACCCGAGGGACGAGCAAACGATCTTCCCTTCCCAACCTTCGCCACCAAAGCGTCGATCTCGCTTTGCAAACCTTCGGGCGTCACCGTCTTCCTTTCGGCGTCGGTCGTCGTAATCACGGTACGATCTTTGACGCGCACCTTCCTCTGCCGGTTTGGAAGGTCACCGTAACACTTGTCCCACGATGGTAAATCCCATTTCCACTCACATAAAATCGCTTCGACCATCAGCATGTCAGACAAGGCATCTCCAACGGTCTCGTTTATAATATTCATGGCCGATTCTAAATCCTCTAATGCTTCCCTTTTCTCTGTTGATAAGTGCGGCTCTTGTTTCGCCCGGCTCAGTTCAGATTTAAATGCCTCGCTGAACAGTACCGTGCCGTGACCATTCGCCTCAAAATAAACGCCTACGTCGAAGTCTTCCGCCTTCTTGTGTAGGTGCTTCACACCCGTTTTCACGCATGCAACAGGGATCTTAAGGATGTCTCTTAAATACGAAGTGGAGCTACCGTTTGCGTAAGCAGTTTGAACCACGCCAAGACCACGGTCGAGATTCAGGGAAGAAGCTTCTAACTTTTCTTTGAGATAACTCGCGAAAAGGGTTGATATTTTATCGCCATCCAGGAGATGGAACCGACCAGAGGAATTGTAGTAGAAGTATACAATCCTGTCAGCATCACCATCAAATGATACATACCTGCAATAATATGCATTTCGGTAAATTGCCAATTTGCCATACATCTCTCAACAGCAACTAACAGGTACAGACGTACCAACTGTATGAAATATGCATGAAAAACTTCTCTCAACGTTTTAAAATAGGGTTTTTTATCAGATAATTAGTATAGAAAGAACAACTGTAGAAAAATATATTACAGCAAATGTATTGTATGAGTCTGAAATAGGTGGTACTTATATTTGCTTGTGCGTATTTTTTCACATACTCTCTTACTAAAGTAACTTAGTTGTTCTTAATACTGGGTTAAATCGTTATACATACCTACAACCAGCTTTAATATCTAAACCTTCAGGACCTTTTTGAGCAATTTTAACAAAATCGGCTCCACAGTTTTTATTGAGCTCTCCAGAGCTTCCATCATTAAAAACACACACTTGCAGGGCATTCTTCAAATGTTTGCCTAATTCTGACATCTTGGGTGCTCCGACACCATTTGCACCATCAATGTTGACAGGACTTAAAGAACTAGATTTGGTCAACTTGAGGAATGCTGAAGAAATTTTATGGTAGTAGCCATCCTCACTTGCGTGTCCATACTTAGGGTCATTGATACATCGAACAATGAAATGAAGTTGAGGTGTTGTTAGAATACCTGTATAGACATTAAGATTGAGATTAATGATAAAATTTAGGTAGTAAAAAGATGTCTGCAAATTCTAACTGATGGCACTTAAACATTACTGGTTAAATAATCTGGTTTTAGGATCAGTAAAATAGTGGAAGAACAATATTAGATGCCATATTCTTCATAAAAGTGTTTGCCAAGACAGAGTTAGATAACAAACTATAGAACATAAGACGTTTTTTATGACAAAATAGAGCATCTATCTTACATATGAATACATCTGTCTTACAGATGAATGGTAGCACTTTTCAACAGCTGGCTATATTTTCAGGGTGTTCTAGGAGGTATAAGGGGTATTTATCTTGTCCCTGTCTGTATGTCTGAAAGAGTAAAATTTATCAAAACTAACTGGTTAGGCACAGCGGCGTAGCCAGAAAAATAATTGGGGGGGGGGCCCATATTCATATAGTCGTGATAAACAGGATTAATTTCTTTTTAAATCAATTGTCTTTACAGTCTGTTTACATGAATATATGAATATGGACCCCCCCCCCAATTATCGATGCTGGCTATGCCACTGGTTAGGCACTAACCTAGGTCATTAAATTTGCCACCAAAGGCATCAGCACCATCTACAACAGCTTGGGAAAGGTCATTTCCAGAAGGTCTGGTATCTCGTGCTACCACTATATTGCCAACATCATTCCATTCGCTACTTGTTAACATCAGATGTTGGGTAATCTCTTTCAAACATTTCACAACATCATCGCTATTGGCCAACTGTGTAGCATATTTCTCCCAATCAGCCTCAAGCATCTCCCCCATGGGATCAATCAATTTCACGCCATTGTCCTGAACGGGGTTATGCGAAGCAGTGATCATGAGTCCAATCGTTTTGCTTCCAAGAGCGCGAGAACGTAAAACAGCAAGCAAACCCATGCGATACATCACAGAGGGCAAGAGCTCCGCCTTAAGACGAAAACCAGCTGTTCCATAAGTAAACTTGAATTCGGGCTTAGGATATTTTGATGATTTTTCTGAAACATTCTCGAACAATTTTTGTGTCAAACTTTCCATCTTGCGTGCGTGGCAATCTCTTACAAGTTACAATTACAAATCGATTACAAAGTTCACCCCCCGTTTCTCTTGAGGGATTCAAGATCTATCCCCCGGATTCCTGGTTCCTCCAAAGTATCTTCCCTGTTGTCTGTGCGGCCGTGGTTCTCTTTCGAAGTGGCCATTTTGAAAACTTGGTCGTACATTAAAAATAGGTAAAGTAATCCTTCTATATCATCTACATCTGAGCTTGTTTGGTAGAAACGAATAGAGTTTTGACTTATTTGGGTTAATTCCCTTTAGTATTTACTATTCTTTCCCATCTTTGCCTCCTTTTGTTATTAAAACTGTCGTCCAGTAATATTGGATACAGACGTTTGGACCTCAGTTGTAAACATGTTTATTCATATCAAAGGGCAGTGATAGTGTCTTATCAGTATATCATTTTTGGTTTAAAACCTTTCTATATATCGTACGGCAATTGCTTATCCATTTACCCGTCAGTATGGTTCCTTAATTTGTACTTAGCTCTTAATAGATCGTATCTTAGACTTTGTTTACTACACGTGTATAAAAAATCTCACACCTTGTAACATGTCTTGTTCCAAACAAGCTGTAAACAATTTAACCCCATCTATATTGCAAGATCAAACAAGTTGACTCAAGTTTGTTGAATTATTAGACATCTTCCTTGATTATTACACTGCATTACAATTCAGTTTTATTGCATCCATGTTGGTGTACACAATCTTGTGTTTCAGCCTTGAAAAATGGCTGTATTAGGTTTTTTGAAAGAACCTTGTGCAGCATCTCTTAATGATTGACAAATTGGCTTAACTTTAGAATTCCCCTGGCCACTTAAAACATCATGAGTTGAATTCTTTCCTCTTGAGAAGAACAAGCCTGTGATACATACTAGAATGTTTAGTTTAAGGATTCGAATGTGGATCAGGAAGCAAAATGAACAAATCAGTTTGAATTTCTCACGTTTTGTTGAGATAATTTTGAACAGTGCATAACAATATAAAATGGTTAGTTGCCAGGTATTCTAAAGTTGTTCCAGGCAAACTTGGTAAAAGACAAGCTGTAAATGCAAGTTAAGTCACACTGCTTGTTTACAGACTTGTGAGAAGTTGTGTACAAGTTGGTTTTCTTTAAGAGCAATATTTTTAAAATGCTTTTCTTTTCAAAGCTTTGCTTAGTATTCTGATCTTGGATTCTATTTGCTTATCCCATACTTTATGTGATTTACTCAAAATCTTTTTAATCTCTGTTGCTAGACATAAACAATGTCCTCTCCAAAGTTGGAGATGGCCGTTGGCCTCCAAAAAGGTCACAAAGTCACAAAAAATGCAATGAAGCCAAAACCCTCAAGAAGAAAGGGAGTAAGTGTCACATCCTCAGAATTTTTGTATTCTAATCTAAGTACTTTTTATTATGTGAAGTCCATCTGCACTATTGGGTACTTGTGGCTAATGATGCTTTGTCTAATGTTGTCATTATTGCCCACTTAGGCTTGCAACAAACGTGTGAAACTTATCCGGGATTTGATCCGAGAAGTTACGGGATATGCTCCCTATGAAAAAAGATGCATGGAAATGTTGCGCATTGGGAAAGACAAAAAAGCTCTCAAATTTGTCAAGAAAAGGGTAATGCAGAACATTGATGTTTTGATCAGAGTAATTGCAAGGGATAACAACATGATCTTGATTTTCAAACCAAGTCTTCTTGCATGAGATGTTTCAACAACTGCAGCAGCTTGGTTCAAAATTTGGCTGTTACCTTTGTCTAAATGTATATGCCATAACTCAGTAGTTTCATAAAAATTGTTTATTCAAATTCATGTTTACAAAATCACATAATTATATAAAAATTACATAAATTTATGAACTTAAAGTGCATTGTCTCAATCAAAACAAATTAATCTCAATCACATCAACTATTTCACCAAAGTTTTGGCATTTTTACAATGTTTCAGAGCAAATTTGCTTGCAAATTTAATGTAAAAATGTAATGCGTAATGCTTTGATTCGTCCTATTTTGACATGGAGACCTGAGTGTTTGTGTCAAACAAGTTTTTTTTCTTCTGATCATGGTCATTACCATATACATCTTTTATTTTGTTTTAGCTTGGTACCCACTGACTATGTATCTTATTCTGTTGTAGCTTGGAACCCATCGACGTGGCAAGAGAAAACGCGAAGAAATGCAAGGAGTTATTGCTGCTCAAAGAAAGGCTCAGCATTAAATATTTCGATCACATTGTGCTAATAAATGTTGAAAATTAATTTGCTTAGCACTGTTCATAATGCATAGTTACTTGTTCTTAATACTACAAGATAGTCATGTTTGAAGTCTGTATTGCGAAGCTGTACAGTGTCAATCATAAATCTTCCGAGACAGTCAAACTCTGCATTCAAGAGGTTGGCCCTGGGTGATTTTATTAAGAATTTTGCTACTACGTGTGCAGGGCGAGTCAAAAAATTTTCTTTCATATTCAAATTTGCTGCGAACTCGCAAGTCACGGCTCATTTGATTTCACAATCCCCTTTTGTCCAACACGAGACACCTAGCTACATTATTTTGCAAGGTTAGCATGCATTTTAAATGACAAGATTTATATTTTTCTTCTCTTTAAACCCTCAAATGTAATGTCCTGCCAGAGTCTTCGCATCAGGTTTGCATATAGCTAATAATGCCGGGAACGGCATTGAAAATTGCGTAAATTTCGCATGGCTGAAGACATCTCGTTTACAGCCATCAGTTTATTCAACTTGTCGGCAAAGCTGTGTCCGACTGATTGCTAGTACAATTTACAAAATAAAAGAGGAGGAGTTCTCGGTTCCGGGTAGAAAGAATACAAGAATTTACACACGATACAAGCAGGCTGGTTTAATCGGTTTTGAATTTCTTTAGGGCCACAATTGGGGGCTACAATTCAAAGTTGCTTGTTCAAAGTTCGCCTCGCGAATGGTTTCTTCAGGCGATGAAGCTACTCGAATCAGTGCCTAGGCACCATTATGAAGTCGACCGGGAAATATTTCGAAGATAGTGTCAGGATTACTCTCGTTGATATCGTATTTCAATATTCTCCTGATTATTTCCAAAGGTAACACGTTGCGAAGCTAACATTGCCCCTGCCGTGTGTCGCGGTGTAATTAACCGTCTTGCGAATTCCAGCCAGTATTTAATATACACCGTACATTCTACGAGATAACCGAACCAAAACCTCTGCACATCAGCCGCCAGAAGAGTATTTTCTAGCTTTCTTGTATTAGTTGACCTGCATCTAAGGACGAAAGCGGACTAATATTCATTTATGCAACGTTCTTTCGTCAAAATCCCGAGATCTTATTCGCTATGTCAGTGCATATGCTAATGCGACCTATAAAACAACTTTTGTATGCAGATTGTTTCCTATGAACTTATGATATCGAACACAATATTCATAACACAATATACGAACATTAAAAAGCGGTAAAGTAGCGGTAGGTATGTAGATGGTAAACAAAACTTGAAATATATTGTTTAAGTTCACATATATAGGACATTTAAATCAACAATTTCGTTCTCCATGGTCACTTTCACACTTGTTGTTTGTTGTAGGCAGTGAAACAATTCTTAAATGCAATTCGTGGCGTAGTCAGCCTGACAATTTAGCCCCACTATGCTGATATTTTCGTGTTGACAGTGAAAACAATGAATTTCTAAAGAAATGAGTAATGTTAATAAAATTTCCATAGCAGGACTAAATCGCCAGTCTGGGTACGCCACTGATTTTCATAGATGAAATTCAGTAAATTATTGATCTAAAGAATATTCCTGATTTGCGGTATGTGCTTTTTCCCTTGTGGCTGTGACCAGGTTATTGATCGAGGTCTGTAAAACACCGACTAATAAACTCTATATATTATACATTTACGAGGTCATTCAGTCACACTACATTCTATATATATCTGACAAGAGCGTTAGGGGAACGCATCTTCTATTCCAATCTTGCCAAGATAAATATTTGCGTATTTCTTCCCTACCATATAAATGCATTTATCTAGCTATCAGTTTGAAAGACCCGTTTTGACTTGATCCGTACAAAAGACATGCATATATCGACATTGACTGAATTATTTAGGATTTCGTCCCCTTTCGTCACAACCAATAACACACATGCATTTTCCCTAAACATGCAAATTTAAAAGCAGCAACCAGTAGGAAGCAGCGGTTTTGCTTAGGCTTACGTCTCGGTAATGATATTAATGAGCCTATAAGTCCCCTTTCGTTCTTAGATGCAGGTCAACTATTAAAACATCCTTGTATACGTTTTAGTCTCATAACTCACTTTACAGCATAGCTAATTTTAAGACTGTTTTATCACTGCAGATATCGTCACAGGAGTATAGTACAGAGAGGGGGAACATTAAAAAATGCTCCTAACTGAAAATTGGTAATTTAAAGAATGGGGTAATTGTCTGCAAGATCTGTATTTTTCAGTCCCTAAGATTAGTTGATTTCTAGCATTTTGAGGGACAATTACTGACTAATCCATCTCAGCAGAGTGAGGTCTGTTGAGAAAACACCATTTATCACTGCATATTTCTCATTTTATCACTTTATCATCGAGGAATCATTGCCGCTACACTTGCATCTATAGATTCTTTGGGATTATTGACCAAATTTAAATCTATTTACAGTTGATTGATTGGAATATAATAGAGCATACTTTAACAAGCCTAAGGATGTTTTTCAAGCAACTGTAATCGGTATAATCATTCCCAAAAGTTCGTTTTTTGCATGCCTGTAGGTTGAGGGAAAATGCTAGATTAACATCAATTGAAAAGATTTCCAGTTCAGTTAATATCATAATTTCTTCCAGACAAAGAGTTCGCAATTAGACAGAGAAGACTGGCTATTTTTGGACATCAACAGCGTCATCTTCTTCGCTCTATAGAATTTTTACCACAAAGATAATTATTGTAGCACATACCGACAAGGAAATGAGCCGCGATCACTGTACTGAGTCTGTGTGTTTTGAACCCGCCTTCTCTGGGAGGTGCTTGAGGTTTAAAACGTTTTGTTTCAATGAGTAGGGACTCAAATCGTCACCTCGCTTTAGTGAAGTAACTTCGAAGACTACAGTACTGAAGCTCGCGTAAGTAAATATAATATGATCTAAAGTTATTATGATATTGCAGTCATTCTCTGTGCATGCTATGCTTTACAGGATAAAATATAATTAGTGTGTTCATTTCATTGTTTTGTTGTAATTCAAACTCTTTTTTAAATATCAACCAGTATTACTAGTCTTTAAAGTTCTTCGTGCTTCAGTTGCCAGTACGGCTTTTGAACCTTTTAGGAGTTGTTTCACTTAAAAGCTCAATGAAATAACCACACATAAGAGATGCCTGCATGTGGACACGGCTGCGGAGGAGGCTATATGCGGCTACAGCCTATAGACCGTGACCGCACTGATGAACTAAATATCGCCTTGTGAATGCGATACAATCTCGGTAAAAAATATGTATTTTAGCTGCTCATATTTCCAATACGTCTGTCTCGATGCATTGAATGGAACAAGTGAATTATGAGTACTCAGTCTAAATTCTAATAACATCAACTTGTATATAACTAGCATGTATTATATTTTCAACACCATTTCAACCGACGACGGTCTTTCGACCAAAACGTCTTTTAATTTTTTTAATAAACGTTGTTTTACGTTTTTATAGCCAGTGTCAACCTTTCCTCTTATATATAATGATTACTCCTGGCTGCAATTTCAGTACGTAATAAGTCCACGGTTTAGTAAATCGTAAACACCCAAATTTAACTCCTTAGATTAGGTTAGGATTAGATTTAGGATTAAAGTTCACTTTAATCAATTATAAACGTCACCCTTACCCTAATTTAAACGTGATCTTAAGATTAAATTAGGGTATTGATTAATGGAACTTGGATTTACGATAAGTTAGGTCCGATAACTATAGCAATTAAGCAAACGAACTTGTTGGGTATATTATTGATTGAACTTTCAACTAGAAAACGTTGGTAAGATAGGATTTGCTACCATTCCATATGCAAAGGAATAACCAAGTCTCTAGGAATGAATGATTTAAACTGTTGACCAAACTTTAATCTAAGCAGTGGCGGTTCTACCCGACGACCCGCCGATTTCTTTTGTAAGTACAATAGCTTATAATAGAAATTCGTCAGGCAGAACTGAATATATGAATAAACACCCCCCGATTATCATTCTAGTCACGCCCCTGTATAGGCCAACATACATGCATATAACACGATGCAACTAGAGATGCAATTGTAAACTCCGCGAAGCATTGTTATATAAAGAAAAAAATACAAAGTTGCGAATTTATGAGAGCTATATACATTTTTCAAACTTGACAGCATTTCTTAACTAAACGATGTATTTTTATTATTGAAATTATGTTTCTCTGGCATAAATGATATATTGAGTCTATAGTTCCTGGATAACTCGTTTGTGTTCTTTCGTGTACACCCGACCGTGATCCGACTAGATCTCTTCACATAATGGTGGCAATCAACTAAGTCTGCGCATGTTTTTGATGCTCCATGTTTTAGCAGGCATCACATTTTGTCCCGAATTTGCTCTCAGTTCTCTTGGCCTCTATCTTTCAGGTGGTAACAACCTTCAAACCTGGTGTTTTCCAAACAAAATGGCCTTCAGCCCGCGGTATTTCGTGCTAGCATTCCTTGTGTTTACGCTCCACACGGAGATAACATCGTCCACCAGAGAGGAAGATTTCGATTCCATGAGAGACGAAGCATTTGAAACTGAAGAAAGTTTTGGAGATAAGGAACTGGAACCTCGCTCTGATAAAGAAAACCTGGAGCCTGGCTCTAAAGAAGAGGAGCTGGAGCCTGGCTCTAAAGAAGAGGATCTGGAGCATCGCTATGAAATGGAAGAGGAGCTGGAGCCTCGTTCTAAAGAACAGGACATCGAACCTCGCTCTGAAGAAGAAGAAGAGCTGGAGCCTCGCTCTGCAGAAGAAGAAGAGCTGGAGCCTCGCTCTGAAGAAGAAGAGCTGGAGCCTCGCTCTGAGGAAGTAGACGAGCTCGAGCCTCGCTCTGAAGAAGAAGAGCAGCAGGAACCTCGCTCTGAAGAAGAAGAGGAGTTAGAGCCTCGCTCTGAAGAAGAGATGTCTCAACCAAACACTCTCTACAAAAGAGGACATCGCCGTAGAAGACGAGCGGGCAATTCTCGCGTGCGATCCCGTAGAAAATCACGCAAACGCATACGCATACGTCGACCAAGTAAGAAATTAGCTTCAATTCGTCTTCGATTTTAAATTAACAATCAATTGTTTATACCTGTCACTGTTCATGAAAACACTGGTTTCTACTAAAAGTACTAATAGTAAATAATGAATAGGACTGCCGAGTTTTTCTACGGAAATATAGTGTGGAAATGAACAAAAGGATAAAGGATCGACTTCTCATCACTAGCCTTACAAGGGGGCGTCCCCTGATTAGCCTTACAAAAATAAGGAGCGTCCTCTGATTAGCCTTACAAAGGAGCGTCCCTTGATTAGCCCTACAAAGGAGCGTCCCCGGATTAGCCTTACAAAGGAGCGTCCCCTGATTAGCCCTACAAAAGAGCGTCCCTTGATTAGCCTTACAAAGGAGCGTCCCCTGATTAGCCTTACAAAGGAGCGTCCCCTGATTAGCCCTGCAAAGGAGCGTCCCTTGATTAGCCTTACAAAGGAGCGTCCCCTGATTAGCCCTACAGAGAAGCGTCTCCTGATTAGCCTTACAACGGAGCGTCCCCTGATTAGCCGTACAAAGGAGCGTCCCCGGATTAGCCTTACAAAGGAGCGTCCCCTGATTAGCCCTGCAAAGGAGCGTCCCTTGATTAGCCTTACAAAGGAGCGTCCCCTGATTAGCCTTACAACGGAGCGTCCTCTTAAAGGAGGCTCATTTTCCGGTCATTTGAATATGTGATGTATTTCTTAGGTCGACGTCGACGTCGTCGTCTCTCTGGTAACCCCTGTTCACCCTCACCTTGTCATAATAGAGGATTATGCCAAAAGATCAGATTGCGTCGAAGAAAATCCTATACGTTCATTTGTCGATGCAGACGAGGATATTATGGGAAAAAATGTGAAAATGGTAGCTAATATTAACTGTTAATTAGAGTGCAGAATAGGTTATTTTTATTATTTCCGCGTTTATCAGGGGCTGATCCAAAATTTAGAACTATACTTAAGCACCTATAGTGGGGTCCATACTTTAGTATTTTCGATCTTAGACTAGTTCTAATTTTTTGCCAATCTCGTATTTAGTTTTTTGCATTTGTGACTTTTTGACTGATGAATTCCAACCAGTGCCATTAGTCTGTGCCTGCCCCTGTCGCCGGTTTATCTTCAACTCCGGTTTAACTTTGCCAGACCGGATAGAGTGGGGTGGACACGAGGGTCAAGATTGTGGACATAGACATGTTTTTTAATTTGTTCTAATCTTAATTGCAACAATATTTTTTTAGCTATTACGCGTTCCCCGTGCAGCAATCGGCCATGTTTAAACGGCGGAATATGCAATAGGTGGGGGAGAAGATGGACTTGCAAGTGCAGACATGGTTACAGTGGCCCCAGATGTCAATATGGATCAAGTAAGACTTGTCAACTCTTAATATCAGTTCAATTTCGTTATATTAACATGTGCGAAAGCATTATCCAGCATTATATTCAATTTGGTAGATAATTGCAAAATGTATCAAAATTCCTAAGACCCAATTATTCGATATCGCTGAAATCTACTTACAAAAATTTCCTAGAAATACTTCTAGGAACCCCAATCATTCGATATATTAAACTCTGCCGTTTTCCAGAATCATGGTTGTATTAAAAGTAGTAGGATCAATTCCATGCAAAAGTTTAACCAATTTGAAGGTCAAAATTTCCTGCTAAACTCAGTTTTCATTCCACAAACTTCCTCTTGGCATGCAAACATGGAATGTTTTTATGAAGCCTATACTAAATTTAACTGGTCATGCGTTTTTTCTCTACAGGCACGTGTTACGCACGAGGTGACCCACACTATGTTACATTTGACAAAAAGAGATTTAACTTTATGGGAACATGTGAATACGTCTTGACCGAAGATTGCGCCGGAGGTCCTGCTAAAGAGTTCGTTGTTTTTGTAAAGAATGTTAGGTGTGGCTTTGGTTTCATATCTAGGGTTTCGTGTACGGAGTCTGTAAAGATACAGCTAGCTGGTGATAAGATTGAACTGACCAGAAACGCCAATTTTGTGTTGATAAACAGCGTCAAGACCTCCGATTTCCCTGTGGTGAAGTCAGGTAATGAAAATCATTGCTCTCCTAAGGAAAAAGAATGTAATATGTTCCATTACCTCTGATGCAATATTTCCGAATGTGATGGGGGGGGGGGGTGTTTATTCATAAATTTAGTTCTGCCCGACGGTTTTCTGTTGTAAGCTATTGCACTTACAAAATAATCTGTCAGGCACTTGGCGTGCGGGAAGTGTTTGTTCATCATATACGGTATGCATCACTACAACTGCGTCACTGACAGCAATGTATGAAAGACACACAGGTGTACAATAAGCCGAACCTTGCGAACGTAATTATTTGTATAGTATAAATAGCAAGCTTGTGAATAGTCTTTTTCTTTGACAAGGACTTGGCATTAGGATCGAAATATCTCCGCAAAAATGTTGTCTTGTTATTTAAAAGCAAATAGTTTGAGTTTACAAGATCAAGGTTTTTTAAAGTTCGTTTTTCTTTCCTATTTCATTAAAATTGTTCGCTGGAATAGTAAATTAAGGTTTCTTTCATAAGTCCTTATCTTACGAAAATATATTTTTCCAGATTATGAAGTAACGAAACCTAGCTCCAGCGAAATATACGTGACTTCCAATAAGGTGGGTCTGAAATTGACCTGGGATTGTAGAAATTCAGTGACAGTGACCCTGAATAAGCGTCACAAAGGAAAAACATGTGGACTATGTGGAAACAACAACGGAAAGCGGACAGACGACAACCCGCTGTCTAAAATTTCGAAAGGATGCAAACCGCTCCCCGAACGACCCTGCGTCCCAAACGCCGTCACAAAATCTCAATTGACAAATGTAAATTGATGAGGTCCTCGCCTTTCCGAGCATGCAATTCGGCCGTCGATCCGAGTAATTTGATTGCTAATTGTGAATATGACGTATGCAGATGTGAGAACCCGATCGATTGCGTGTGTTCGTCTTTCGCCAGCTACTCCAAGCAGTGTGCTGATAATGGCAAGATTGTTAATTGGAGATTTGCAGGATCCTTCTTGTATCCATCTTTGAAAGCTTGTGGTGAGTATTGTGTTTTTATTCCTACTACCAATTCGATATCCTTATTACCCATAAGTTATCCTAAAGGCGCATCTGCATTCAGTGCGGAATGTCGCTCGATCGACGTTTTGCGGTCGCTTTCTTTTAAAATAGTCAAGCGAACTGATCCCATTAGATAAGCTTGACCTTATTTCTATGAGCTTGACTGAACACATTTTGAACTGAATGGAGGTCCGCTTTTGATTTAGTACCGATTTAGGTGGTGCACGAATCTGATCTGAATCCGATCCAATCGGATTTAGGACACTATTTCGTCTTTCTCCTCAATGATACTTACATCACCTTCGGATTGGATCGGACCGGATTATGTAAACTTTTTTCGCATCGGATCAGGGTTTTTTTCAATGAATAGACAAGTTTATTTCGCTTTATGCGTTCCAACTTAAAACAGAATTTAGATCCTCGTCATTTCCTGAACGAAGGAGTTTGCTGTCTCTATATGTATGTGGGATTTCAATTTGATATTGTAATCGTATGTCAGTACGATTCAGTGAACTCAAATAAGTGGAACGCCCACTCTCTGAATTAATGAGTGAAGCCAAGATGGCAGATCATGACGGACTTTCTTTTAGGTACAGTGACTCAAATAAGACTGGAACGCTCACTCTGACTTTCCCTCATTAATGAGTGAAGCCAAGATGGCGGATCATGAAGCCTCTCTTGTAGGTATGATCCAGGCCTCCGGCGTGGAAATTTCAAAAGGAAAAATAAAAATTGTCGCCATTTTACCTACGAAATTTCCGCGTGGAGGCCTGGATCATACCTACAAGAAAGGCTTCAGTGTCCGCCATCTTGGTTTCAAAATTTCGACAGAGTGAGCGTTCCAGTCTTATTTGAGTTCACAGGTACGATTTGATTGGATTGTGCATGCGAACGTTTGAATGATGGAAATGAGTCATATGGTTTTTTGAACGCGTGTTGAATATCATTCGCCTAGGTTTTGTTTTGATTTTGTTTTTTTGTTTTTTTTATTATTTTTCTTCGTCGCAAGTGTGTTTTGGCGCGAAATATACTAGTATTTGAAAAGCGAATGTGACTGTATTTATCTACGTCACATTTTTGTCTCCCAAGAGTTGTGGTGCACAGCTCTCAAAATCTCTGACTAATTTTCCGATGCGCGATTTGATTTCGCTCGCATGATACGGCAGTTCTTCCAAGAGGAACAAATACCAATTAACCGTTCTAATGATGTTGTTGTTCGATTAAGTTTACATTTATGGGGTAAGAATGGGGTAAGAATATAATTAATACATGTAGATTCTGGTCCTATTTTAATAAAATCACTGCTATTTCACCGTTTAACAAGATGTGGTCGTTTATGGGCGCGTTGACACGTCGCAGCTTCCACAGGATTGAAGATAATATAAGCGCGAACTCCAAAGTGTAAGAGTAAGACAAAGTGATCATGCGGTTTATTTAAAATTGAACTTCTATACTTTTTAAAGTACGATGTGCTTCAGAATGTCGCGATCGAACAACATTTAGGTTCGCAAGGCATATAAATGAAATGAGTATGAACTATATTGTTTATGTTCAGTGGCTTTATATTGAAGACTTTATATTGAAGACTTTATATTGAAGGCTTTATGTTGAAGGCACGTGCACGGCACGCCGGAGTTAACGTCAGAACAGCCGTCTTGTTTCAATAATATTATAATAACTACCTGAACGTTGCCCCATAACCAATCATCTCAACACCGATTAATGTTTCAAATCCAATTATCTGCGCATAACTTAAATATGCGGTTTTTCTTTTATAGTAGCTACATGAAATTTTACAACGAGTTAGCTTATTCACGTTTAATGTTTCAATGGTCCAGAAATATTTCAATTAAGTCGTATACACTGCTAATAACAGTCACGAGTTAATGGTCCTGTTTTACAGAGAAATACTTCTTCCAAGCTTCTCTAAATTCGTTGTAATCCTGAACGCCCAATTCTTTACCAATCGTCTCAGTCCACATTTTTTGAATATCTAGTTTGGTACACTCCTCCATCATCTCAAGGGCTTTCGTAGCAGAGCCTGTCGCAACGCGTTGCAACCGGGTCTCTTCAGGAAACCCCATTATATTATTTCGAGCACGAGCTACGCTATGACATGCGAACTTGTCTTGATTTTGTTTCATGAAATCAAACGTGCTCATCTTCACAGCATTCGCTATACGTGCTTCATCATCAATGCCTATGAAGGATGCAATCGCTCTGACTGAACATTCCAAATCTTCCAACATTTCTTCATAGAACAGAAACAACACATTGGGATCATTTCTCTGTGGCCACCAGCTGAGAATGTGCTTGAAGTAATTCGAACTCTCGCCAGTTGGTGCGTCGGTGACGAATTCATGAACTGATATTTCACCAGTTTTAAAACATCTTCCTTGGAAGAAATCAAATAAACTGTAGAAAGCTGCGCATGGCTCTCGAAAGACGACAATGTACTTGCCAGCGCCCTTTGCGCAGTTTTCGTAGGAACAGTGAGTCTTGAAACATCTCGGTTGATATTTCTGTTCGGCATCGAGATCTTGCCCAAGGTCGTAAGCCAATCAATGTATTGCACAACGTCATCGATATCTGCAAAGCTCATATCACCTCCACTTCTTAACTGATGAACAATCTGTTGCATCCAGGTCGTGCCACATTTCGGCGAAGTGCTAATAATCACATCAGTCGATCGAGGAACAAATTTCATGCCATATTCGATCCCTTCGATTGTCATGTAACGTGAAAGTTTATCTTTTAACAATGCCATCGCTGCGCTTGACTCCTGTAAACTCGACATGTTATACGTGTGGCTATGTTCAACTATTATATCGTCAATTTTCGGTTATCTTTTGCCCGTGTTAAGCCCAAATGTAACTCTGACTCTCCTCTTCAACACAATTAATATGGCGTTCCATCGCCGCCAAAAATCAATGTTGATACTCAATGTTCAATATTTCGTCACAACATGTAATTTCATCACTCAACTTTCAACAACGCACGCTCGAATGTCTTGTCTTTTGTTCGAATAATGTATTTTGTAAACGTCGACATTCGAGTCCACCCAAATTGCAAAACCAGTCGCAATTTTCACAAAAAACGCGCACGATGATTCCGGATTTCCTTTGGTGTGTAAAATGGACTGAATTGAATCTACGTCGCATTTTGAGGGCATGCGCAATAGTGAGTTTAGTCAAATAAGATGCACCAAATATACATGAAGTATTACTGCCGTTATGTCTGCAGTTTTTTGGTAAAAAAAAATAATCAGTGCTTTAATTAAAACTAATGACCGGACTGGATTTCTAGCGGCTGTTTTCATATAACGTCTGCGTCGTGTAGATTAGTAATATTTAAGCGTGCCCGCTATTAACTAGACCATATATACCTGGCAGGAAGAATGTCTTTTACAGCTATATAGATATTTGCACAAATATACAATGGTGATCATACTAAAACAGAATTAAGCTTTTCAACATCGAAAATAAAGTCATTATAAATTGTTTCAGCGAAAAAGTGTGAAAACTCTGGCGAGATTTTCAAGGAATGCGGCTCGGCGTGCGAAAGAACGTGTCGTGATCTAGCACGTGATGTTCAGTGCAGTGAGGAGTGCATACCCGGATGTCAGTGCCCGGATGGCCAACTTCTGAACGATGAAAAGCGATGCATTCCGATTGCTCAATGTCCGTGCCAGTACGAAGGGCAGGAAATCAAAGCGGGAGATGCGGTTGAAGTCGGGAAATGTGAAACTTGGTATGATATGATCAAGCAATATCCATAGTTCACAGTATCTGAACCCTCGAATCCCCTATTTGCCTTTTTCAGATTGTTGTATTTTTGGCATACCATGAATGTGGTTATATGAAAAAGTTAAAAAGCGTGCAAACTGAAATATATGACTGAATATATTAATTTTCACTCATAAATTGGACTTATTCATTAGGCAGAATATACTCGATGGTACGATTGTATTTATGCTTGATAATCGTCGTATGTTTTTACATTTGTTTAATGATTAACAATATTCTATCTGCATTAAATGCTTTACTCAATTTAAAATATGAATTATTTCTATTGACATAAACATCCACCTTAGATGCGTGTTTTTATTTCATCCTTCCATGCAATATGGAATCCATGAGTTAGGGACATGGCTAATACATGAATACACCACGAAAAATTGGTTCTGATTTTCAATTAGTTTATTTACGGCGTCTCAAGATGAGAATTATGCGTTTACCAAAATGCTTTCCGTGTTTGAAACAATGTAAATTTTTACCAGCTCGTGGGAGCAAGTCAAATAAAGAACAAAAATTGAAATATATTTCTACTCCAGTTCATTTGCCTAAATTAAGTCAAAAGCCAATTGCTCGAGGTGAGGCGTTCAAAAAATGAAATAGAAAATATGTCTCTTTTGCAGCACTTGTACATCTGGGGTGATGGCTTGCGTTGATGATAGAGATTGTAATGAGAAAGGTAAGAACGAATCATTTCGGAATCTTTCGAGCCTATAGAGAATTAGAAGTTTAATTTTGATGTCCCAAATAAAGTTAATAAACCAAAAAAAGTTGAAAACGCTATAGAAAATGACGCACATAGCCTTTTCTCTCTAGGACCATGTGAATCTTTCCCCTGCAAAAATAATGGGAAATGCACGGAGAACGGAGCATTGTTCAAATGCGAATGTGTTGGAGATTTCCAAGGAGAGACATGTAATGGTAGGTGCCAACCACTTACCATGCACAAACCCATCATTACAAGCTGGAATAGGAGGGAGGATGGGGGCGTATTCATTTACTCATCTTTTACCTGATCGATTAATTCCGGAACCCTTGCTTCATGGCTGATTGACAATCTTTATGCAGATCCTTAAATTTTTGGAGCCACCTAGCTTTTAAAAACTGACCTCAGCCCTTTAAAGACAACCCCATCTGCCCGATTTGGCCGAAGCAAGCTTTAATATTTCTCGTTAATTCATTTTGAACATTTAGTTCAGTATGTGTTTCCATCTTTTTTATTTTTTTTTCTTGTTTGTACAGAGCCGAAACCGCGGCCATGCGATTCGTCGCCGTGCAAAAATAATGGGATTTGTAGCAACGAAGGAGCCTCATTCTCCTGTCAGTGCAGAAATAATTTTATTGGCAGGACATGTGAGAAAAGTAAGAAGCGGTATTGTGTGTACATTTGGAGTAAAAACTTAGTACAATCAAGACTCTGCTATATTCTTGATTAAGTCACTTCATTTCGAGTGGCTGACATATCAGACTGCATGTGTATGAACTATGGCTAACGATATTAATTCGAGCATGTCTCGTGAACCAGGCTCTGTTTAATAAATAGCATTGTTTTTTTCTTCCCGCAGAACCACCAAATCCTTGTATTCCCAATCCTTGCCTTAACCGCGGTGTTTGTCATGTGATCGGAAATGGATATTCCTGTAAATGTCCTGTGCTCTTTGGCGGCACAAATTGCGAGGATGAGCAGTGTAAGATGATTAGATTCATAAAATGGAAACGGACGTCAGGAGAGTAGGGAGTAGGGAAAGGGTCGGGGAGGGGTAAATATATCTCAGTCTCCCAATAATACAGTAAATTAACAGACTGGTAAAAATATTGTAACTGCTAAAAACTGTTGCATTATTCTTCTTTAGCATCATGTAGAGCTGTTGGCGACCCACATTACACAACGTTCGACAACAGAAGAATCGATTTCCAAGGAAAATGTGAATATATCTTTGCCGAAGATTGTGGTCCAGCGAAGTCCTTTAGAGTGTGGACGAAGAACTTGGCTTGCGGGCGCTCGGCTGCGTGCGTTTCATTTGTGAGAATTCAGATCGATGGTGTCGAGATAAAGTTGACGCGGGAACTGGGAACGGCCATCGTGAACGGGGCAAAGATCAAGAATTTCCCTCTGAAACGAAAAGGCAGGTTTTTTGTTTGTTTTTAAATTCTGTTTATACACCATGACTTTTCAGAAAGACGCCTGTACACATTAATTTGATGTACCATGCACGACGATCGTTTCAAAAATGTTCTATGACATGCTGACACCTTTCATATAGTTAACTGTATCAGTTTTTATTTTTTTTTTATACCATGCCACAGGTTTTGTTATTACAAACCCAAGCGTGCGGTGGCTCCACGTGACCACTGATATTGGAGTTACAGTGCGTTGGGACTGTCGTCACAGCGTGACAGTGGTCATCCCCAGCAAGTACAGAGGGAAAACGTGCGGACTTTGTGGCAACAACAATGGAAACCCCGCGGATGATACCATCAACGCGAAAGACTACCCGTGTGTACCCCCTGTGGGTAGTTGTGTGGCCGCGAACAGCGACGCTGCAAAAATCGTGGCGAAGTGCGAGCTGATGAAGAAACCACCATTTTCCACGTGTAATGCGAAGGTGAATCCAAATGACTTCATAGCTGACTGCAAATTCGACGCCTGCAGATGCAAGGACCCGATGCTATGTGTGTGCGATTCGTTTGCGGCGTACAGTCAGATCTGCAGCAGAAATTCTATCGTGCTTGACTGGAGGTTTGTTGGAAATACCGTGGCTTCTCTGCCGCTTCCTCAATGTGGTAAGTGCCAACGAAGTGACAACTAAAACAGGAGAAGCTTTAGCCGCGTTTTTAGCCCAAATTATAGCATGTAATAACTTTGTAGTTTTTGGTTAATAATCATGGTGAATTTTGTATGGTGAATTAATTCAATACTGTTGCCAGAGACGTGCCGGGCGGAAAGCATATTCGGATGATAAATATTAAAGCCCAACATAGTGCTTTTAGTAAAGCCAAAAAAGACAATTTCAACAGTTTAAAAGTATAAAATATTTTTATAGTGACGTCTCGTCTTAACTTAGGGCTTCTACAGACTTTTACATGCAAAATTTGAATATGTAGATTAGTAGATTACATAGGGTAGAAGCGAAGGAACGTAAGGGAAAACAGTACGTATGAAGACAACACGATGACAGTTACGAAATGTCACTATCAATAAATTTTTACACCGGTTTAAATTGTTGAAATTCTCTTTTGTCTCCTTTATCTTTTGCCCTCGTATCCAGGGATGCGAGGTTGTATGTTGATTTAATATTTCTCATACAAATTAATAATCTTCCTGTAACATAAAGAAGAAACATATAGGTAGAGTAAGTTTAAGAAAAAATTCGCGAGTGCATTTTAAATAATTTCTTTGTGTGATTTTAGTTCAGCAGTGTAAAATTCCTGGTCAAATTTTCACTGAGTGCGGTTCGTCATGCGCGCAAAGTTGTCGCGACTTGTCACGTGTTACGAAATGCAACGAGCAATGTGTTCCCGGATGTCAATGTCCTCCTGGGTCGGTTCTAAGCGATCATGGTAAATGTATTTCAATTTCTGAGTGTTCATGTGAATTTGAGGGGAAAACACTCCAACCAGGCGAGAGTACAGAAGTTGGAAATTGCAAAACTTGGTTAGTAATGAGAAAGAATATAATGTCTTTTGTCGTTGTTATTGCTGATATTGTCACTATTTGCTGCTGTAGTTATTATTATTGTTTTATTTGCATTACAATCTTTAATGAATTGATGGCGAAGATAACCAATCATACGCACAAGTTCGTTTTGAAGTTCCCTTCCCTGCAATCCTGGTCAAAACATTGACGACACTCTGTGTTAATTGACACTACAGTCAGCAGTCGCGGGATTTATTTCAAAATTCTCCCCCTTTTCCCCACAAATCAATGTTGAGTGACGAGTCATAACTCATTCAAGCATTTAGCATAGATTCAACATTGATTAGGGGGGGCGAGGGGGGGAACGAAACAGAAATATTAATGTTTTGCGTAAAAAAGTTCAAATCATTCAGAGTGTAGTCGATGGTTTTGGCCAGGATTGTGGCTTAGCACACAACAAGCAACTTGATTTTGAGGGAGTAACATGTGCTAAGCTCAGCTAGGGCCGTAGCTATTTGGAACGGGGGTGTATATTGATATATTATAGCTATATACTGGTCACACTCTGCAGGCAAAATATTAACAAAAGCAAAATTACACATCTTAAACAATGAAACTTAGCCGCGAAATTTTAATCAGAGATGATATAACTATAATAACAATCAGTCGTGAATTATTGTTGCCATGCAACTGTATGAAGTATTGTTGCGGTTTTGATCGCTGTTGTTCTTGCAAGCTTTCATCATATGTAATTTTTCTTTCGTTTACTTCTCCAACATATTTTTACTTGTTTCACTTTCTCATAGCACGTGTGATATGGGAGCAGTAAAGTGTGTGAAGGACCGAAGTTGTTCAAACGAAGGTACGTTTTCCAGTCTAGGCTAAAACATAATTCCTCTTTGTTTTGGGGAAAGCAATAGAACATACGCATTGAATCAGGTATTCCAATCTTGGGTGGTTCTAATTTCGCGTGATTTAGGTCCGTGTGACTCGTTTCCATGTCAGAATGATGGGATATGTTCCGTGAAGGGAAATTCATTTTCATGCAATTGCCCAAGCGAATACCAAGGAGCCACGTGCGAAGGTTGGTGACTGCATGCTATTTTTGCGCATTTGGCATGCCAGAAAGAGTGTGAATGGCTTGAGCTCATCGATTTACGAGTGCATTTTTTACATGTCACAAAAACAACAGATTTAGGGGCTGTATAGACATTATCTTAAACGTCTTTACATTATTATCCGCCTATATTAATTTTATTAGCTGAATATATTTTTTGAAGTCTTGGAACAAATGTTTAATTTTTCATCGTGTGTAGTCTTGATTAAAATACATGCATGGCCAATGGTAATCAATGACAAGTTATGAAATAGAAAAAAATCGATTTCCAGTTCTTGCTTGACAACATTTAAAATGCGTTCATTAACATTCATTTTAATATAGCTATATCTTAGGTCTTATTTGCATGTGTCTTTCAGAGCGAAAGCCAACACCATGTGATTCACAGCCATGTCAAAACGACGGTGTTTGTACCGTCAAGGATGGCTCGTTCACGTGTGAGTGTCCCGATGGGTTCATTGGAACGACTTGTGCAGGTATAATATTCTGTTAAATTTACGCATGCATATATAGGATTTTTCGTACGATTCTTACGCTGCATGACTTGTGTGATCGTCGAGTATTTAAATACACATATGTGCGTCAAAGTTAATAGATTGAATGTTCGACCAAGATGTTGATAAAATCTCGTATATAAAGCTGAATGAAAACGATGGAGCAGTAGTTTTTTATTACGAGCGGTCGACGTTTTTTACCGCGTTATATATATAAACTGCATAAAACGAACTTTGACAGATATGTTGTTTTGCCTTTGAATAAAGCTTTCCATGTCACTTTGCTTTACGAATGCAATGCTTTTCAGTTCAAAACTCCACCCTGAGTTAAATAAAGCGTTAAACTTCCTTCCTTTCAACGTAATTGCAATTATATTCTATGTATGGAGCCGTATATTCGCAAAAAGAATTTAATTTCATTAATACAAAGCGAGTTCAGCTAGGGTATACAGGTTTAAGTGGGTTTCAATTTTCAAATGTTCAAAGGAGGGTTATGTCACTAGTCCTGAAATGCACATCTCATGTTAATTAAGTTGCTTAAACGCTACTCTTACTCAGTTACGTCACATCACTATAATTTAAAAGTTTCAGTCTTCTTGTGAAAGATTTGAAAACATGCATGTGTACAAAAAGTTTACTCGCAAATTTTGACACTGCATGTCCTCCCGATCTAACAAATGAGAACCGGCTATAACGATACGCGTTTGGACGTCTTTTACAGATGCAGAATGCATGGACACTAAGCTGGACATTCTCTATATAGTCGACGGTTCAGGCAGTGTTAGAGAAACTAACTTTGAAAAGATCAAAGCAGGACTAAAAGAGATGAACCAAAAATTTGCTATCGGACCTGACAAGGTACGAATAGCCCTTATGCAGTTTGGGAGAGCAACTCAAACAAAAATTGAATTCAATTTTGACGAGAAAACCTCTTTGGCCGCGGTTAATCAAGGTGTTGATGATATGAAATGGCTTGCATCGTTGAAAACCGCAACTGGTGATGCATTGAAGAGAGCCAGGGAAGGGGTAAGAAATTCAAACTCTTCAGTTGAAACTGCATGGTGTTTCAAACTTTCACACATGCTACTCTTACAGTGATTTTGCTTGCCTATACTGGGTAAATTATGATAATTAATAATTCCGCTATATAGTAACAATAATTAATATAATAATTAAGTATAATAGATAATAATAAGTTATATTAATTGAACTTCCATCTGCATGATTCCCTTGCAAATGTGTCACCCAACTGTGACAAACGTTTTTTGTTGATTGCACAGATCTTCAACGGCAAAAACGGGGACCGAAGCGATGCTCCTGATGTTTTGATATTGTTTACGGACGGGATAGCGACAGATACGGCTTTGGTTGATCAGTTTGAGGAGGCAAAGAAGTTAAAGGACGCTGGTGTGAAAATTATCACCGTCGCTATGGGAGGCCAGGATTTTATTGACAAATATCGGGAAAACCTTCGAAGGTTGGCAAGTGTTGATGAGAGTACTGACCAAGTACTGCAGTTCGAAGCTGATTTTGAAAATTTGAATAAAATCACAAGTAAACTTGTCCAAGGCGCCTGCTAGAAGCTGTGTTATATACCAACTCACCCACAGCATAGTGAAAATGTGCCATAATATAATAAGCGTTCATTTTTGTTACCTCTGAATGGAGAACATCCTAACAATTAATATACTTAATACTTATTGCACTGTTGGAAGCCCGGGTTAACGGACCGAAAGACCTGCATAATTATAACTAACAAATACATGCACGTAGTGTTTTCTACAAATTGATGATTTAAGTTAATCGTTACATTTTTTTCTGAATAAATGCAGTATCTATAGTTGATGCACACGCTTTGGTGTTCAAAATTTGCGCGCTTTTCCGAGCTTCATATTATTGCAAAGAAGGAACATAAGTGATTATTACGTTGTCAATGCATGTAAGACTAAAGGCTGCTTTCCACTTAGGCGTTTTTTATACGCACGTACACGTACGGAAAATTTTAAATGCTTTTAGATTTTTATTATTTAACATCTAGGTCAACTAATGCATACTAGAATAAGCAGGACACTAAGTCCCTCCGATTTATTCACTTTTTTTTTCAAAGGTAACTTGTATAAGGATTTCGACTTTGACGTGCGTGTACCTGCGTATATGAAAAACGCGCGTAAGTGGAAAACAGCCTTAACCCTACATGCACACGCCGGTTACGTTTTCGAGCGTTTTCACATTTGTTTTCATACCTGAAAACGGTTTCAAACACCGGCAATTTACAATAGAAGTTGAAGCTGATTTAACAAGTCAGTCGTGCATGTGCACAAAGCTTAAGGGCTGCTCTCCACTGTCGCGGTTTTGCATACGCACGTACACGACCGTAAAAGTCTAAACCCTTATATGTCATATTTGACAAGCTAGCTGAATAATCAAAAGAGAGCATTCGTTGACCCTTCATTAAATAATACTAATTTGGAAGCATTTAAAGTTCTTCGCGCCTAAAAGAACGCGATAGTGGAAAGGGCTATAGCCTACGTATGCATTAGAGTGAACAGTTCCACTACTGCACGATTCTCTGCGATAACGTCCATTTGAGGCTCCATGCATAGATAGGGTCATTGGCATGATTTATGTCGTAGTTTGTTGTGATTCCCGTTGCTAAGCATATGCCAGCAGACATGAATTACTACGAATTAGATTACCAGGAAGTGATGACGAGTATGACGTATTTAACAAGCAATATTAATACGGCACATATAAACGACGGCTTATTGATAAAACTTGATTTGGCGGTTCCGCTGAGGTGATTCAAATCAAATAAGGTAACCAGGAAGGTAAGCTTGGTAAGCTCTTGTTATGTTCTTTGATGGGTTAATGATGGCGTACGCTGTCTGTGGCTTTATAAATTATATGCTCGTTCACGTTGTATGTTGACTAACCATGTAATGGACGACTTGCGCTTTAGACTAACTTTTGATAGAAGTAACTAGAGGAAAATAAATCACCCCAGCTAGAAAGATCTTACTTAAATTAGTAAAACTGCCAGTTTGGCTGCGAAATTTTGTGAAATACGGAAAATATAGCCATGCGAAGTTGGCAAATTTGGTATACTTTTGTATCACGTGCGGAAATGTGTATTAAACTAATTTAGTTGCAAACTTCCGGTCGTATACAAAAATCGACAACTTCGCATGGGTATATTTTCCGTATTTTACAACAATTCGCAGTGAAACTTGGCAGTTTTACTTATTTTAGTAAGCTCTTTCAGAAAATGTCTTTTTTATCGCCAAGGTAGGAAATTATAGCAAAGCGCAAGTCGTCCATTAAGTGTTTTGAAATAACAACCGAAAGCGCTTGAGATCATATTTCATAAGCCAAGTGCGCTTGAAAAATAGTTGATGAACTTGTTATTAGATGTTCCGAAACATGAGATATGCTTTTGCAGCAGACAAAGATAATTAATTTGATTGTGTATACTGTATACATGTTATAACTTATAACATGAACTTTCAGCGGATATAGAAAAGAATTGTCAGTTTATTCCTTTATATCATATGTGGTTTAGCAGAAACAAATAATAATTTAGGAGAGAAGATTGTTATTCTATAACTTTGCCGATTTAAAAGTACATTCCCCAGTTTTGATAATATTTCAATTTATAGCGACTGCTTAGTCGAGTTTCATTTCAAACTTCTGGCGAATCCAATTCCAAGAAAGAAAAGAACACACATGCAAATGGCCGGTTTTCTTAGAAATCCCTTTAAGTTTAACTGTTAGTCTTAAATTTCAAACTAATATATACATAGCTATATTGGAATATGGGACTATATATAAATATGATTTCGAAAAAATGTTATAATTTATCGTTTGTGAATCGTGATTATAAGCCTTCAAAAGGCTTCATTTATATAGTTACCAAAAATATGAACTTTAGTGTACAGCGACCGATTCTGTAAATCCGGCTTTCGTTATAATAATTTATAGGTACTGTAGCTTATTTTCACTTTCACTCCATTTAGTTCAACATGTCTGATATTTCGCATGAGAAATTCGCTGAACCGATGCTCGAAGGCGAGCAATTTCTCCAGGGATATATTGACACGCTAAAAGAATTGCTAAGAGATGGCACAATCCCCGACTTGAAAGAGAAAAATGAATTTCAAGTCTATTCCATAAAAGGAAGTGGATTTGGTTCTCATAAATCCATCGTGTTATCACCTGACGGAAAGCGCTTCTTTTCTGTCGAGCTTGGCTTCATAACAGTTGATGGCGAAAAGCGAATTTATCCGGTGACAAGGAAAATACCATCAGATATCAAAGATAAGCTTGTTCCTCTCGGTAAAATCGAGGCAACTTCTGGTGACCTCATATCAAAGGCTGTCGCAATCATGAAGAAATTTGGCTCGTATTTCAAGTGGACCAACAACTGCCACGACTACTGCAACCTCTACTTGGAGGAAATTGGTCTCAAAAAGGCCCAAACCCTGACTGATGGAGACAAGGGGAGTAGTATACAGAGTGGCGGTTCTGGAGCGGGTGGTGCGGGTGGTGCACTTAGCACCACACATGACGTCATCGATTCCTAAATGTTTTAATTTATTCCGGCATTTTAATATATTTGAGCTTTGCCGTTCATTGCTATAGCAATTTTTCAGGGTATTTTACTACCATTTCTTTATTTACATGACTACATCGTTTAGTAATGTCTGGTTACTTAGTTATATTAAACGGTAGGCAATTTCCCGCCGTATGTTGTTCTTATCGTCGTTCGTATGCCTGTAGTGATTTAGCGGTCGTTTGTTTACATACGGCCGCGTTTTATTTCTAACTGCTCCTCTACCGCTTATACCGTCTGCTTATCTGCAATCGATGTTTTATAGATTTATATTTGCTTATATTCTGTTTAGAGTCCTTAGTTTAGAGTCCTTATATTCTGTTTAGAGATCTCATGCAGTTACATTAATTAATCATAATTTAACGCTCTGCCAGTTTTTACACAATGATTGTGCAATAATTTATTATTCATATAAGTACGCGCGGGGGCGAGGAATGGGGTAAACAATGAAGCCTAATAGCGTAAATACGCAGGATATGTTTGTTTGACAGCAATTTACTTAAATTACACAAATGCCGGTTTACTTATCACACAACTGAGAATTTGCGAAGAGTATATTTTATTTCACTACGATTACACATTTGTATGTCAATATTTAGTACCATTAGACTAATGTTCATTTTAAACAATTGTTATTTCGTTTTCTATGTATGCTTTGTGATACAGTTCAGCTCATACGTTAACCCTGATTTAATTGTCCTCATATATCATAATGTCAATATGCCGTTGACATACGAATCATTTCCATACATCAATTTTCGTGTTATCGAGTTACTCAAAGTGTACTTGCGTGGAATATGAGGTGGAATATCGGTTACAAATTTTGTGCGATGAGCAGATGTGTACCTGCTCGTAACTGCTCCTCTGCTCAATGAGATATTTCATACCCACTTGAAATTTTTGTTGATAAAATGAAAATTTACATATGAACTAGCGGCCGGAAAGAAAATTTCAGACATGGTTTAACGATTTTAACATTTATTTGTCTTGCAATTAGTTACAGCAATAAATAATAATTTTCCCTAAAACGTTTTCTAATTTTTTTTTTCGCTCGTTTGCCATATATGGTTTCCTTAAGAAAGGTTAGGTAAACCTTTGCTATTGGGATTAAATTTAAAGTCTAATTATCATCATCGTCATAATCTTCACTGTCTTTATTTTCCTCGTCATCTTTAATCTCGTGGTCGCTTAAAAGCCTTTTAATAAGAAACTTTCTCTTATCAACTGCAGCTTCTATTGCTTCTTCTGGGTCAAAATCATCATTTTGAATAAACGATTCCTTTGTGTGCATTATTTTCCTATGTACTAGATCTTTCTTTAGTTGTCTTATCCACAAAAGGCGCTCTAAATAGATATTTTCTAATTCTTTCTGGAGTCTAGGCATAATATTCAAGTAGGCTTTTTCTTTAGCAGATTGCTCGTCGAAACCTTTGTCGCTTGTGAGGCGTTCTTTCATTTCCTCGAAAGCTGTGTTACTTCTTTGTTTTGCTTCTTCTATTAGTGGTATCCAGGGATCCATTTCTTCTCCAGATTCTGAGTCAGTCGTCGTCGAACCTCCTGACTGCTGAGTAGAAGTTGTTGAGACATCGTCACGGAAATCTCTTTCTTGACTGTCCGAGTCTGTGGCAAGAGTGTCTTGTTTCATCAAAAACCAAAAAAAAAAAACCTGATTGTTGGGCTACCTATGCAAGAATAGACAAGAGTGAGCACGTTTAATAAGTATCTATCTCAAAGGATAATGCGCATGCGTATTACGTGTTTTGTTATGTCCCACAATCAAACGGTAAACGTTTTGTATTTATATTTCGTGGTTCGTGCAGAAACTGATCAACTGATAACTTTAAATTTTCATCCGCTGCGAAACGAAATCGTTTGTGTCATATCAGTAAATTCAGTTCTGTAAGGAATTGGTATATTATCGACGGTTAACCGAAGAGGCTTAGGTAAGACGTCAATTAAATTTATCACTTCCAAATTCCAAGTAGTTGCTGTGCCCTTGTTGGCTGCACCAATGAAGAAAGAATCTGAGGTGCCCCTTGGGAAATGTCTAGCAACGAACGGGTTCAATTGTTTATTTATGTGCGAAGACTTCTTAGTAGTTGCTGTGCCCTTGTTGGCTGCACCAATGAAGAAAGAATCTGAGGTGCCCCTTGGGAAATGTCTAGCAACGAACGGGTTCAATTGTTAATTTATGTGCGAAGACTTCTTAGTAGTTGCTGTGCCCTTGTTGGCTACA